TGACAGGTTTAGGTGATTGCACCCGCCCCGACTCATTCCTTGGTAGCCAAACATCAACACATAGTTGTGTTTCCTTACCATTCCCAGCTCTCGTGCAGATATTATCCGTGTTGAAATATATACTAGAATAATGATGATGATGATGATGATGATGATGACGACGATGACGACGATGACGACGACAACAACAACAACAACAACAACAACAACAACAATAATAATAATAATAACAATATTAATAATAATATTTCAAGACTTTTAGAAAGAAAAAACGTAAAACATTTTTTTCTAAACCATTAATATTATAGTATCGGTGGTCCTTATTTAGGAAGAAACAATAGTGATCATATTTGTGCACTTTACCACTATTACTTATCAATTCCTAAAAAACATTTTAGTCTTAGTTAAGGAATTACCTCTATTACTATCAATTCCTAAAGTCATTCCTCCAATGATGTGATCATTATGAATCGTTTCATTTTCGCTAGTTAAATCATTCTTCTTCTCTAAGTTTTCATCTTGAGAAAGACATTCAAAATTTGACTTCTTTACACAAACAAACTTTCCATTGTACCATTTTTACTTAGAACCAGTTTCTATAGTCTTCTCGTCTGTTTTCTTTATCCTATCCAGATTCAATCATTTTTACTACACATTGAAATTAATTAAATTTATAAATTTAATTATATTTGATTTTTTTGTCTAATAAAATCAACAAATTATAACACCAACACCCAATAGATAACAATCAACAATTAAGAAATCAAACAATCAACTATGAATGAAATGAATTAATAAACTAATCAAATAATCATAGCTGACTTATCTGCTTCCAAGTTAAACATTTTTATGAATTTTTGTGAGCATGTTTTTCATTAAGTGTAGATTATGTCCATAAAGTTAAAGCTTAAAATTCAATCGGGAAGTCTCTTAAATAAATTATTGAAAATCATTGCGTCAAAATATGCATAAAAATTACACAATGTTTTTCATTAATTTATTTAAATGAGTTCTAGTTTGGATTTTAAACTAAAACTTTGTGGACATAATCTAAACTTCATAGAGAACATGGTCATAAATTCTTATCAAAAATATCCATCTCAAATACTTAAAAACCCACCTCAAAAATTATTAGTTTAGAGGTGAAAAATTAGTCTACTCACACTTCTAGGGATTTTAGAATAATAATAATCTCTACTCAAAGTGTTCACAAAAAGAATCCGAACTAGCAATGGTGTTCATAAGATCGAATAAATTGGGGTGAATTCAAATTAATACTCGTTTAATACTTTCACCCCTTACCTCACTATTCTCTCCCTCAATCTTCTTATCGAGACAAATTCAAACTAAAACCCGTTTTATATCAACACCATTTCCGCGATTTGTGGTGCATGAGAAAGTGAAGGTAATATTGGGAGTATTAAATGAGCATTAGTTTGAATTCATTTCAATTTGTTCTTAAGACACTATTTTTTTATCATCAAATCTAACCCTTATATTAAAACCATTAGGAATCGGATCGTTACGGCAAACTCAAAAAGACCAACCCTGACAAAAACTATCACTAACCAAATATCACAATCAAACTATGGCTAGACTCTGAGACGATCACCCCTTAAAAGCAATACAAATCGCTAACCACCAATCGGGTGTGACATAACAATCACTGGCCATATAGATCATTCTAACGACATAATATCTAGCAGAATTGACAACCATTATTGTAGACCTAAAACTAAAGTCCTCAACAAAAAATGAAACATCGTAAACAAATATAACATGAAAATAAGACCATTAAAAATAAAATAACTGACAAATACTCCAAACTCCTTCCTCACTGTTTTCTTGAAATATCATCTTCCAAACCCAGACATCTCGATCAATCCAAGGCGGTGGTACAGGAGGGGAACATACTGCCGATATGTATTCTCCCTTGCTCGGCCCTTCGTCGCTCCCCGTCCGTTCATCACCCATGCCGAGGGTCGGAACCAAATTTGTCAACCCTGAGTCGTGGCTAGATTGCCAATAGCCCTGCAATTCCAATTCAACTCATCCATGCCGTTGCGAGAAGAAACAAGTCGCACTTCCGTCAGATCAATTCAAATCAAAAGCTGGTAGAAACCCTCTGCCGGATCAAGTCAAAAATAGCCGTCGGAATAAACCCTAGGATATACCTAGACAACGACCGCCGAATATATCCCCACAGAAGAACGGAATGGGACCTTTGCTAATGACGGCGAGGCCCTGCCATGGCTGCTGATGCGCGTATTCTTAAGACACTATTATTTTTATAAAAAATCTCGATATAAATTATTATTATTATAGAATCCATAAAAGTATGAATTATTCTTGTGAATTTGACGAAGATCAACATTTATTTTTCATTTTTTCGTCAAGGTCCGCACCCCACTCCCAGGGCCACCCGTCCATGAGAACAAATTTCTTCCCCTCTCAAAAGAGGGTTATGTTCACCCCCACCCTAGTTTCCTGCCATTTGGCATGTCAACCCTTTAATATTTGGCAATTGTTTTAATTTTTTTATTTTTGATATAATTTTTTTAAAAAAAATACATCAAATATTTTTAATTTTTTATGCTTTTTCATATGATACCAATATTGTATATCTAAAATATATATACAAATTCAGCTAAAACTACGTATTTAATAAAATGGTTTTTTTATAATTTTTTTTATATGCAAGATTGATACCGTTGGAAAGCTCATAAAAAACTAAAAAATCTGATATTTTTTTTATAAAAATGTACCATAAATTAAAAAATTATAACAATTTTAAGAAAAAAAATAGATATGTCACATGGTCAAATTTAAGAGATGAACAGAATAGGACTCCATGCCATGACACCTAGGAGTGGGCATAATGGTTTGGTTTGACCGAACCGAACCGTACCAAACCGAATTAAACCAAACCGAAACCGAACCATTTGTAATTTGGTTTGAGTTTGGTAGTATTCCTCCCAACCCGTATTAAACCGAACCAAACCGAACCGAAATCATAAAACCGAATAAAACCGAATAAAACCGAACTAATCTAAAAATGAAATAATTTCTTATTTTTTTAAAATAACAAATCAAAACCAACTTACACCAAACCAAACCAAAATATAAGATTTTCTCATTAATTTGATTGATGTTAATCTTTTTGAAGCTTTAATTCTTTAATTTTAGTGTCCAGGATTAGAGTTTACTACAAGAGTTACATTCACAACTATAACAATTATAGTGGTTTAAGTAGATAGTATTTAACTATAATTTATTATCTACTACTACTATATATTTGGTTTATTACTTACAAGCACCAATTTTGTTTTTGTTTCGGCTTTATATATAATTTGATTCATTCTCGTTGTTGTTGTTGCTTACAAATGTGTCATGCTTATATCTAACATTATATTTGGTTCATTACTATCGCTTCTTGGTTCATTATTTTGAGTTAATTTTTTATATTAATCCAAAGCTTAATACTTTGGTAAACTGAACTCCAAACCGAATCGATCCATACCAAACCGAAACCAAACCGAAATTTAATCGGTTTATATTTGGTACATTTTCTATCAAACCGATTAAACCGAAACCGAACCGAAACCGAATAAAACTGAACCGAAAACCGAAATGCCCACCCCTAATGACACCAATGGTCAATTGGGATTAGGTGAAGTCCACGACTGACTGACTCCGACGTGTAACATATGCGATGGGATCGGAGATGAGAGTCAGCCTCGTTGCTGTTTTCATTGCCTGCGGACATATCGATTACTATAGATATATTCAAACCACAATTCTTTCACATCGGGGTGGTGGCGTAGTTGGCTAGCGCGTAGGTCTCATAGCTTCTGAGTTATCCTGAGGTCGAGAGTTCGAGCCTCTCTCACCCCAAGATCTCTTTTTTTAATTATACTAAAACGCTTCCTAACTTAATCCCTTCACATACGTTGGCCAATTTTTCTTTATGAATAATCATAAACAACTTTCATTTACTTTTTCAAAAATGGAAATTAATAATCCAACCTTTTAGCGTTCTTCTTACAATAGTCTCACTTTTTCATTATTCATGAATAATCCAACCTTTGCATCTCATCTTCATTCACTATTCCTTAATCGATTTATGACCTGTTATTCCAAGTTATTTTCTTATCTTTGCAAAACATTATGTGATCATAAGGTAGAAATTATGGTATAATGTTTTACATAGATAAGAAAATATCTTGAAATAATAGGTCATAAATCGGTCAGAGACCAGTGAATGAAGATGATGTGCAAATGTTGAATTACTCATGAATAATGAAAAGGTGAGATTATTGTAAGAATACCGATAAAAGGTTGGATTATTAGTTTCCATTTTCCCTTTACTTTTCACATTCTAAATATTTTCATATTAAATGATAAAAAGAATTCATATTAAAAATATCATTCTCTAATCATTAATTAAGAAAAGTTAAGTTATATTTCATCCGTTTCTTTTAATTACAAATCCACCTTTCACGTTTGTCAATACACAAGTTTGATTATTAATATCTTTCATTCCTTATTCTTAGAAAATCAGATTTCTAAAATTTAAAATAGAGAAGTTCAATAATATTTAAAAAATTAAATTTATAATATATTAATAAATAAAATATAGTCAAAATAGAATATAAAGGAAAGAGAATTATAAAGGAGAGTGAATTAATTAGGAAGAATTTGACTTTGTACCTCACTCTTTGAGTTGTATTGCATTTTGCACTCCGTTTTGAAAAAAAAAATGACTTTGCATCCCATGATATAACATTTTGTGAAGAATTTTTTTAAGTGGGTTGCAGAGTCAAATGATTTCTAAGTGAAATGAGGTGCAAAATCAAAGTTTTTAACAAATGAAATGCAAAGTCCAACAAAGAATAGGCTTCAAAGTCAAATTCTCCCAATTAATTAAGTAAAGACTTCTGATTATTGCATGCTTTAAAAAGAAAAATGTTTTAGTTTTTGGACAAACGGAAAAAAAGGTAAGAACGGAAAGATACGCGGAAAAGTAAAGAAGCATTAGGGACACGTGTTCGAGTGCTGAGTCAGCGTTGTGCTTAATAAAGAAGACGTGTGCACTCATTGAGTCAGTGTCTAGTACTCATAGAGTTATAGAGAGAGCTACGCAATAAGCGAAGAGACCAAATCTGCGAGAATTCGAAGAAATGGCGGCGATTACTCTGAACAGCGGCTACCAAATGCCGGTAATGGGTCTCGGCGTTTGGCGTATGGAAGGCAAAGACATTAAGAACCTTATCACCCATGCTATTAAGGTCGGCTATCGTCACTTTGACTGCGCTGGTAAAATCGAACTTCTTTTTTCTTCTTCTCAGCAAGTTCAGTTTTGCTATTTAATGGTCACACTATTTTGTGATACTCTCTCAGAATGCATGATTTGTTTTTGAGCAATTGTAGTTGGAAATTAAATTTGAACATGATAAGAAAGAAGATATTAGAATTGGATCATCAAATGGGACAGTATAGGGTTCTCATATATGAGATGCTTCTAGGAGCAAGTACCATCTGTGAATGTTTCTTAATTATGTTGATTTACAATTGCTCTTTGGATGGGTTCCTTATATTTTGCTTTATTAGCATTTAAGCTAGAGATTTGCTACCCAACGGGCTGACCTACCGCTTGGTCCCTAAGGAAGGACGTCTCCAGCACTTCACCCTTGTCAACTGTCAACTAAGGGTCCTCAGTTTGGATGTAGAATTTTGTAGGCTTTTGAGTGTAGAAAGTCTGCATTCAAAACCCTCCAAAATCATCAACCCAAACTGACGCGTAAGGCAAGGCTTGACCACACCTAGTACTCAGATGTTAGTGTGTTACAAGAACATTTGTGCCCGTCCTGTTCACTACTCAGTAATGACTGTATTTATCCCCACCATTATAATTTATAAGGACATATTTGCTAGATTTAATATATATGTAGAAATCTAGGCGTCTACCTCTCCAGAGAATGTACACACTTTAAACCTTCAATGCAATACTATACTTAGACGTACAAAGGTCCTGTGGACCATCTCCCTGAGTCTTCTGCTGTAGGCGTCTACTAACTTGTTCTCTCCATAGTATAGGGCTTTATGTTGGACCTTCTTAGAATCCAACACTGGTTACTTTTTATTGCTTACAGCTGACTACAAAAATGAAATGGAGGTAGGGGAGGCACTTGAGGAGGCTCTCCAGACTGGTATGGTCAAGAGGGAAGATCTTTTTGTCACAACCAAGGTTGGTCCAACCATTTCAAACCATAGAGATTTGTCTGATACCTTGGTTTTTTTCCAAGTATGAAACGAATTTGATGTTTGTATTTTGTAAGTGATTTTTTCTCCAGTTGTGGAACTCGGACCATGGTCATGTTCTTGAGGCTTGTAAAGACAGTTTGAACAAGCTACGCCTGGATTATTTGGACCTTTACCTTGTTCACTTCCCTATTGCCACAAAACATACAGGTGGACATGCATGTCTGCTAATGTTATTGTAGTTGGATCATTTCATTTTCTCTTGTATAATGTGTGCCAGTTACTACAAATTCTCAAAATATCAACTTGTCCCTAGTAAGGTTGTTTGTTATTTCACATTTGGTGTACCTGTACAGGAGTTGGTACAACGGCAAGTGCAATGGGGGAGGATGGAGTTCTGGACATAGACACCACCATATCATTGGAGGCTACTTGGCATGCCATGGAGGATCTTGTTTCTAAAGGCCTGGTTCGCAGTATAGGAATCAGGTACTCTTTTTTGTTTAATTAAGTTGTTTCTAAGGGTTTGAGTTTGACTTCATGCATACTTATGTTCGTTCATGTAACTGCTTGGAATAAATTGTTGTCCGGAATATCATTTTTTTATTTTTCTCTATACGAGCAGTAGTCATACAGGTGGTGCATTATCCTGTTTCAGTGCTACAAATTAGTATGTGCTGATAGGCTAATTGCAAAGACCAACACCAATGATAATGTGATGGTGTTAAGATGTTGTACCAGACAGGAAAAGACAGGAAAATACTCCACAAGACATCCTAGTTATTACTCGCACTATAGTAAGAGATTATACGTCTTCACCTTTCACACATACACAAACCTGTCCCTAGATACTACTAGGGACCATTTGGTAAGGATTATTCAATTATTTGGCTGAATTTTCTGAAATACGTTTTGTTACATCCATTTCTGCCACAATAAGTCAAAAGCGTTCAGGCATGGTAGTTGGTTGGGTAACTCTGCAAGCTTAGGCTCTTGAGTATGCCTTCTACCCAAGTTCCATTCCTTGTGAGGTCATCCGTGGCTCCTCAGCAAGTGATTCGAAAGCTTGCATATTGGTCAGCCTAGTATGTCAGCCCCAGGGATGGGCACCACATTAGCAAGATGGTTGAGCTCTGCTAGTGTACGCAAGGAGCCAAGGAGTTCCTGGGTTATCAGAAATAGAAAAGTCAAAAGCTACTTTATTGTGCTAATAAGCAGAATAAGCCAAATAAGGTTACTAAACAGAGCCTTAGTAACACTATACAATAACAGTGATGGAAAAGTACTCTTGCATGTTGATGTTAAATACTCAGTAACTTGCATGCAGCTTGACCATATTGCCATGCCAATTCATGTGTGCAGCAACTATGACATTTTCCTTACCCGGGATTGCTTAGCATATTCAAAGATCAAGCCTGCTGTGAACCAAGTCGAGACACACCCCTACTTCCAGCGCGATTCCCTCATCAAATTCTGTCAGAAACACGGAATATGTGCTACGGCCCACACTCCTCTTGGCGGTGCTGTTGCCAACACTGATATGTTTGGTTCAGTATCATGCCTTGAAGATCCCGTTCTCAAAGTAAACCATCTTTCTTGCATTTTTTTTTTCTTAGAAAAAATAAGTGCATTAAATATTTAAATGGAACTTGGAGTAATCATTTGGGATTTATGTTTTCTATTGTCTGAATGGTGTATAAAAGGGCATAGCTGAGAAGTATAAGAAGACAGTGGCTCAGGTTGTGCTCCGGTGGGGCATCCAGAGAAACACAGTGGTCATACCAAAGTCATCAAAGCTCGCAAGACTTGAAGAAAACATCAGTGTTTTCGGATTTGAACTTAGCGAAGCGGACATGGAACAGATCAAGAGGCTCGACAGAAACTATAGGACCAATCAACCGGCAAAGTTTTGGGGCATAGATCTGTTTGCGTGAATTTCACTTGGTATAGGCCCTGTTATGAGTCTCAATGTTTATGTAAGGCTTTAAAGTGTACTGTTCTCTGTTTCTAGAGTTGGCTTTGCTATGCGACATTTTTCACTGGTTGAATAAAAGAATCCTCAGAAGCAAGGGTAAAGAGATACAGGAAGAGAAAATATCATTAGTTAATTCTTTTATTTGGCTTTAAAAAACAAGTTGAAATACCATTAACAAAATAATAGATGAATGGGTTCAAGTTTTTACATGATTAGGAGAACATGCTTCTCAAAGAAACCAAATTTTACAGAATTGCTGATAAAAGAACTCCGGGGAGATTCTAATTTCTAATCATTCTATCAGAAGCTGATACGGATTATAAGTTTAGGAAACGGGCTATCATAGATTCATAATCCTTGTGAACACTTTATTGATGAAAGTGGACTAATAAATAGGTCTGAAATCAGTGATATTTTTCTTTTTCTTATTTCACTTTTGGAATTAGTACTAAATTAGCTGGCATTATTTTTAGTACTATTATCTTCTAGGTTTAGTACTCCGCATTACTAAAATAGTCTCTAAAGCTCGTAGTTGTATGCCTACAACATTTTTTAAGAACTTACTTAAAAAATTAAGATTTATTTTGAAAAGTTACATTAAGTAGGTTTTGTGATAAAGTTTGCAATTTTTAGCATTAATTAGACACAACTAGTTGCTATACCAAATATGACTATATTAAAAGGCCAATTTTAATCAAATAGATATAACTTTTTTCTTTTAAAATTATTTGAATCATTATAAGCTAGCACTTATTAAAAGTAAATAAAAGTATCTTTTGAACTAGCTGCATAAAATATCCTTAGAGATATAATTTCCTAAGAATAAATGTGAGTACTTAACTTGCTAGAATAACACAATTACCGGCATTTCCTAAAAAAATCAAAAGAACTATTTTTTGTAGCAAAAGTGTCGAGAATGCTGCATTTTCTGCGTCATTATTGATGTGAAGAACATATGTAACATTTCCTTGAATTGATTAGCACATTAATTCCCAACCTCCCTAGCTCTATGGACACTATATTTTTCCTTATTCTCTTCTCATTCACTAAAAAATGTGGAAGAATTTGGTATTTGTTTCTCCTTCCTCGACCTATTTCACTTTATATACCACTGTGATATAAATTTGTGTACACCATATTGGTATTTGTTGAGCTGCACTTGCTTAACTTGTCCACTTCCTCGTTTGAGCGCATCCAGCGTGTTCTTCGATATTGGCAACTCAAATGATACTCCATATATCAAATGTTATATCCTCTCAAATTTTAGACGTAGAACTGTTGAAGTAATTTAAGTTTCCAGAAAGCTACGAGGCTCATAAAATCTTTAATTTGAGGCATTTTTTTTCTACATGAAAGAAATGCTCTCACGATTTCAATTAAACACCTCGACCCCATTGTTCCACCAATATCCTCGTTTTGCTACCATCCCGGCCGCCTAGCCACCACCACTGCCCTTTTATGGTATTCCTTGGAAGTCAATAGATCCAATAATGTAGGGTTGAGCGCGGTTCGGAACGGTCCGGTAAATTGGTATAACCCGTAATGTATCCGTGAAGTTTTTAACGGTTCGATACGGTCCGGTTCCAAGGATAGAACCGTTCGGTACCATGTCGTTTCGGAACGGTACAAAACGGTATGGTACAATGCCAAACAATTGCTAAAATCTTTGAACAAATCTTGCAATTAGTAGATATCATCACACCAATTAACTCACATGAAATGTTAAAATAAATACAAGAAATTGCATACCTAGTATAAAATTCACAAATACACAAATAGTGCAACACAACTAAGAAAAAGTATAGCAAAACGATGACGCTCGAGATAAATATCATTTTTAATTTACTAAGTTCATGTGAAAATATAAAAACGAATATCATCAAATTGTTGAATATAATAGAAATCTTCGATCAACGTTCTTCTTCTTCGTTCTAGGTTAAATATTACTCCGTAGTTCTAATTTAATTTATAGTTGAACCTTGATCGAGAGTTAAGATTTAATCCATATTAATTAAGTTGTAAAAAATGCACAAACATGATACAACAAAAAGTCATGTACACTGCATTACTAGAAATAAATAATCATTAATGATTTCTAAAATGTTAATATTCTTTCAATACATACCAAAATATAACATAAATTATCTAAAAAGAAAAGCTAAGAATATATATATATATATATATATATATATAAACAATACATTTTAGATATCTTAGGGACACATGAATACATACTTGGGATAAAAACTAACAATTATATATATTCGGTTCGTAACAATTATATATATATATATACAATTATATATATATATATATAAACAAAACATTTTAGATATCTTAGGAACACATGAATACATACTTGGGGTATAAAATTGTTGGTCTAGATCTATTTATATAGAAAAAATATAAAAAATTCAAATGCATTATTTACGAACGATTCAGTCCGGTATTTTTCGGTTCTCAAAATCTAGGATCGGTCCCGTACCCGTTTCAAATGGTATGATTTCGGTACGAGATAAAAATCTATAGAACCGTTTACATACCCGGTATTCGGTTCGGTACCATTACAGGACGGTTCGGTACCGGTTCGGTTCGAGTTTATGTTCGGTTCGGTACCAAGTATTGCCTATTTTTTAGCATAAATATCATCTTGTGAAAAGGGATTGCATTTTTACTCTCATTCTGTTACTCTGTTGGATTATCTACCTGTACTTTTCGATTAGTTCTCTCGTTTCACTTGGATTCCGACCACCCGGCTCTGGCGATCCATCATTTGGTAATGACAACATTGTAGTGAAGAAGAGAATGTTTATGCATATTGAGAAAAGGTGGCCATGGATTACGGACAGTGGGTGATATTCTTGTCTCAACATTTATGTTAGTAAAATTAATTGTAGTTGTCATTTTAAATAAACCAGCTATGTTGTAGTCCCTGTTCACAAACTTCTCCTACATATAACTCTATACAAGGAATAGTGGAATACTGAATTAAAAATGCCTTACGTTAACTATTTAGGGTTCTATTAAATCAATAGTTTCATATATACGCAGTATTTCCTTAGTCTCATTTTATCTTTTGTCACACTTTTCTATGTAAGATGATTAGATTCAATGCACTTCATTAAAGTTTGTATCTAAAAAGTATTGAGCCATCAATTTGGGGCCTTTGGGGAGATAAGTTATCTTTGGCCGGGCTATCTTAAAAGTATGGGCAGTTCCAAAAAATGAAGCTTTATGGTTTTTTGCCCAAAATGAGTTTCAAAGTTTAACAAAAAAACCTCCTCTTGTGATGCATTAAAAAACAGGGAAGTTCCCTTGAAAATATCGTCAATTCTGATAGTATATGTTACTCCGTATTTAAGGTATACTTATTTAAAACCTGAGAAGGCAAACTGTGTTGGTAAATTTCTATATTTCTATTTTTTTAAAGAGAATTTCTATTTTTCTATAATAATAATAATAATAATAATACTCTTTATGTTTTTTTAATATAAAAAGCTGCTTTTATAAAATTTCGAAAAATCATACGAAACAATTTCTAGATAGTTGTTAGAGATTCGATCATCAGCCCCCAGGAATAGACATAAAGTCAATCACCTCCTACAAAACAACCTGGTCCGCTAGACACGAAACAAACAATTTTAAACCTAAAATGATCATAACCAAAACACTGTATCAAAATTATTTCAAATATCCAAACGTCTAAACTAAACCTATTCGAATAAAAACAAAAACAAGTAATCCTAAAGTAAAAATAACACCGGAACAAAACATTTTCACAAAACTATTCTTGACACGGAGGTTCCCAAGGAGCTAGGGCGAGGTGCTTCAACATGTAGTATTTTAATACTCAGTAAGAAAATATTATCTTATCTTTTGAAATATATGGAGTACAATGAGCCAGCAGGTATACTAGCTACTTGCAGAAAAAAACTAAAGAGAGCATGGACAAGAAGTACTGAGAAAAGAATTAGTCCATATATATATATATATATATATATATATATATATATATATATATATATATATATATATATATATATATAGTTGGTACGTAGGCGTCAAGAAGTAGCTGAGATTAGAGGGCGCATATCAAAGCATATGCGCGGCAGATCGAGCGTGAGGATTTGGAGGAATGGCGGCGGCGATTACTCTGAACAGCGGCTACGTAATACCGGTGGTTGGTCTCGGCGTTTGGCGTATTGAAGGCAAAGAAATGAAAGACGTTATCATCAACGCCATCAAGTTCGGTTATCGTCACTTTGACTGCGCAGGTACGTACGTAACCTAAATACTCCCTTTTTCTAAAAGAAAGTGTTTTACTTCACGATTATTAATAAAATAAATTGATTTTAATGTAGAAAACACTGTTTGTGCACTGTTTGGCACTGTTTGGAAATTGTTTGACACGGTTTCGCACTGTTTGACACTGTTTGGATGTAAATTTCTTTGTCAAATAAGAAAACAAGAGAAGTGTTACTTTGTTTTTGAAACATCTCAAAAAGGAAAATGTGAGTTTCTTTTAGAAACGGAGGGAGTACTTCGTGTGTGTGTGTGTGTCTATATATATATATATATATGTGAATCTAACACTTCGACTTTCACGTTTGCCAACATACAACTTTGATTGTAATTATATTTAATTATGTATTAGTAAACATTATAAAAAGTTGATATTTTGAAAATTCACATCGATAGGAATTCAATAAAATTTTATACGAGATAATTTGATTATGCATATTAGTAGAAAATCATGATCAAAGTAATATATGTGAATAGTGCAAAAGTCACAATGTTGCAAGAATTAAAGAAAGAAAGAAGTATTACCTAAAAAGGACTAAAATGTACCCCGCAATTACAAGTAAGACTACGTTGTTTTTTATTTACTAGTAGGATTAATTATGGGGAAAGTTCCCGAAATATGACTAAAACAGTTTGAAAATTTCAAAATAGGACTCCTATGTTTTTTATTCCCAAAATATAACTAAAATTGCCATGTTTAGAAAATACTGCCATGTTTGAAACCTGCACCTGCCAAACCATGACAGTAATTAGTCATATTTTGGAAATAAAAACATGACAGTCTTATTTTGGAATTTTCAAACTGTTTTAGTCCTATTTCGGGTAATATTCTCTTAATTATGTGTGTTTGGACAAATATACTCTTGTAGCTTTTGAAATGTTTTAATTCATAATAAAATTATAAAAAAATATGGAGTAATAAAAAAGTGTACAAAGATAATAAAAAATCAATACAATATCTTTGAATAAATTTTTTTAAAAAAAATTTAATAAATAAATAAACAAGAAAAAATCACCACCGCCTCTGCCACTCTCAACACCACTGTCTCCAGTCACCGAAAAAAATGAGTTAATGACAGTTTCAATGAAAATTTGACATTATCAAAGAGTAATATGTCATGTTTTGACATTTTCAGGAAAAATGACATTTTTTACAAAAAAAATGACATTTTTTACAAAAAATGAAATTTTTATATACCGGTTGGAGGTGGTGGTGTGGGGAGTCCATATTTTTAAATTTTTTTAATGGTTTTTATATTTTTATTAATTTTTTTAGTTTTTAAAAGAATTATTGTTAACTTTTATTTTATAAATATTTTTATTATTTTTAATTATTTTTTTATGATTTTATTATTAATTAAAACATTTCCTTATGAATTAATACATTTAGGGATATTTAAAGAAATATTTTTTGAAGTATTTCCAAAAGGTGTATTTGGTACTTTAAATGCAAAT